ACACCCTACTCTCCTTCTCCCACTTGGTTATGTACAAATCTATAGAAACCTTTAATAAAGATTCTTACACTCAGGAGTTTTTTCATGGCGCTCTGAAGTTTAAAAAAAAAATGGTTACATTTTTCCAGATGTGATGGTACATGCTTATAATACCAGCAGTTTAGGAGGCTGAGGCAGGAGGACTGCAAGTTTGAGGCCAGCCTCATCGGGGCCCTAAGCAACTTAGCGAGACCCTCTCTTAAAATTAAAAATAAAAATGGCTGGGGATGTGGCTCAGTGGCTAAGTCCCCCTGGGTTCAATCCCTCATATCAAATCCAAAAAGTTACATTTTATGTCCCTCTTAAATACTCTTCTTACTTGCCCTGAGAGGTAATTAACTCTACCTTAGAGTTCACCAAAGAGATCAAAAGTTCTCAGTAACCCTATCCTTAGGGAGCTAGGTAAATGCCACCATTCTATCCTACTAGGGTCTCTAAGCTCAAGAATCTGTTAAGAAAAAAGGCAACAAAATGAGCCTTATTCCAGTATTTTTCTTCAATGGTGTACACAGAAGATAGTAAACTGAGTCCCCAAAAGAATCCTGAATATCCCCTACTTTCCTAAAATAAAGTTATAATGAAAATTTGTGGGCTTCATACTTTGTTTTCTTTTGGTTTAAACTAATGGCACTGGATGGCCTTACATTTGGCAAAGTAGATGTGTATCCATCATCAAAAACCAAGGACCAACCCGTTAAAAACATGTAAAAACTACATGACCTTTGACAGGTAACAGGCACGAGCAGTGGGAACATGAGGTTAAGGGGATAATTCTATAAACTGGGCCCCCTGTGCTGACCCCACATGCTCTCTTTAAAAAACAATTTACCTGCAACCCTACCTGGCTTAAGTCAATAGGATATGTCACATTCCTGAGTGAACAACCTGCTATCTACAGGAGAAATGCAGGCTTGTTTTGCCAGTAAGAAAAAGACAGGTTACCTTGAAGCAGTCAGGGCCACAACTTTTATGATCCTCCCACAGACCAGATCCCAGAACTCAAAAAGATAAGGATAATTTACCCTAATCATTAAATCTGTGAGAACAAGTTCCAACTACAACTTGTTAGCATGGGCCATAGTGATTCAGCCTTGCTTCAGACATTTACCATGTGTAGTAGGGACTTGAAAGTCTGATACAGCTCTGCTGTGGGTCAGAAGTCAAGAGGTGGACCTGGGTGGGACTCTAGAAACTTCCGAGGGACTCCCAATAAAACTGGAATGGGGAGGGGGGTGCTATCCTTCTCCCCTCTGAGAGGACCCACTCTCTTCCTTGAGTTTCCCTTTTTCCTATTCCTTCCAATAAACTCTGCTATTTCTTTTACTAATCTCCTTTCTTGCCTGGAATCCTCTCAAACAAGAACACAAAAGGCTGGGACCTCTGGCTTTGTCTCTGTGGGAAGATCTCCTCTAAAACAGTTTTTAATAATTAACCAAAAAATTGTTAGAGAATACTTTTATATTCCTCAGCCAGCTGGACTTTTTCATCAGATACAACTACCTTTTCCTAATACCAAAAGGTAGTAAAGCTTTTCATGTAAGTCATAATAGCAATAGTAATAACAGTGACAATACTAATGATGATTTATACGCTCTTTACTGGCTGCCATTGCTGTACTAAGCATATTACAAGCACATATTTTTTAAATTCTTAGAACACTATATTGTAAGTATAACACAGGACAACTTGCTCAGTTAGGAAGACTGAGTTGCAGAAAGTTTAAGAAATTGATCAAAGCCAGCTACCATGGGCAGAGTAAAAATTTAAGTCAAACCCATCTTTTCACATCTATAAAGGTGCAAACAACTCAATAGACTGCAATTGAATGCAATATCTTTACCCTCTTGATGAACATTGAGCCAGTTAGAATACCAACCCATTATTTCACAAAAAAGGATTGACATTTAGTGTAGCCTTTGTGCTCTTTTTTGGACATGAACTTTTGTTACTCTGAACATTCTTTGACTAAGAACTTGCTAATAATTTGGGCAGTTATAACTTCAAAGTCTTTAAACACTACTGTATTGCACACATAGGCCATTATTCAGCTTGATATCCAGATTTTTAAATTTTCAGCTTATGCAAATATAATTAATTTTCTCTATTAGAGTTCTAAAAATATTAATAGGCTCATCTCTCTTGATTTTGGAATTGTGGTTCTTTGGGAAATATGTGTAAGATAATGTACAATATGATTAATAGATTAGTACATAAAATATTTATCTACTTTTTTTTCAACATCTCCTGCAGATATCAAATTTTCCCACATCTTTTCCCTTATATCTTGTTCACTTGTGTCTATTTTCCTTCAGCAAAACTAATTTTTCTTCCCTCTGTGAATTTCCTGCCCTCCCAAGCATTACTTGTGAGTTACTTGACAGCTGCTTGAACATGGATCTCCTTGATGACCTCTAATCATGGGACTTCTAATTAACTGATATTTCCATTTATTTGTTTTATAAAGACACACTAGAGTTTATTATGCAAAACATTCTTTTCAACCCTGGCAGACATATAACTCCACTATAGCTTTGCCAAAAGTCTATAAAGAAAGGTCCTTTTATTTTAAATACATATTCATGTCCAATTACGAAGACATTAATGCTACTGGTACTACAAAAAGCATAACTGACTTCTAGCACTTTCTGCTTCTAGCACTTTCCAGATGTCACTTCCTATTTGTGGTTTCTGTAATATATTTTGCAGCATAATAAACTATTCTTGCCCTAGGATCAGAATTCACTGCAACATTTGTAGATACATGACAATTTTACTCTTGTATAATCAATGATCCTAGTCTAGATGCCAAATATATGCTTGTTTTTATGTGTACATATTCCTTGTCATAGATCTTCATTTTGTAGAAGATTCTTCTCCTAAACTTCATAGGAGAATTTTATTGTCACTTATTGTCATCCCTGCCTCAGTATAACAATTTTGAAAAAGTTGAAAAATAGACTCTTGTATCTTTGGTATCCTTTTATCTTTTTATCCTTCAAATAATTTTTTTCATAAAAAGTTAAAATAATTTAAAACTCATTGGCATTATTCTAATATGTTGTTACAGAGTCTAAGCAACTGTCTCTTTTATAGGCAACATAATTACAAGTGAATTACAAATGCAGACTTTATGACTCCAATTAAACTCCAGGCCACAATCCATTAAAAACAGATTACATTCATTAAATTAGATCTAAGCAAAAGATAAATATGCCATATAATTCAAACTATCAAAATAAATGAGGAGCAACAATTTCAACTAATTTGTTTATCTACAATTTTTATCAATACAACCAAAAATATCTTTTTGAACGTTATCAGAGCAAAAGTTTTACATTTCATTTTCACACATGCATACACATATTTACATATGTATGTAATATATACATATTTACATATACATGTATAGATGAGTGTTTATATACATATATATCTATTTTGCAAAATATATATGTGTATTATATATAAAATTCTCTACATATTGCCTCACTTCATTTTATTCCAAGAACATTGGAAAATATTTCCTAAGCATAAGAGATTGCAAGAGGTTCCATACTTTAGTTACAAGAATGTATATTCATTTTAAGAAAATCATAAACTCAGAACTATTAAGTTAAGGGAATTTTATTTTGTAAGAATCAAATCAAGTGACTAAAAATCCTAAGCAAAATAAAATGTCAACATCGTTGTAAAACTGCTTAAGTAAGCAGGTCTTAAGAAAAAGTTGTGCAGTTTTTGTCAGCCTTAGCAGACATATAACTCCACTATCATTTCCATGTGGGAGGCTCACCACTGTAGTGTTCTCTCTGAACCTTTTGAATATTTAATGATCACATTACCTATGCAAAGGAGCTTGCTGCCTGTGTCTGTAAAGATCAATTCTACCTGGTCCTCACTATCATCTCTCAGCCTCTGCTTCTCTAGTGAAGAATGAAGAAATGAGGATTATGTAAATTTAAATTTAGCACCTGTCACATGTGCAAGTACATGATGAGGCAGAGGAAAAGAAACTGAAACACAGCAAAAATATCTTCAAGCATACTCTGGGGTATGGAGAAGGGTAAAAAGTAAATAGTATTTCAAATAAAAGATTAGAACAGATTGAAACACATGCATTAGAAAGTATTATGTTATAAAAAAAAATGAGATAGTTTAGCACAGATATTCTAAGAATTTGAAGAGATTCTGACATTTGTGAGAAAGGGTAACATTGCTGATAGTAACATTTAAAGGAGGTGCAAAAAGCAAATTCTCATCAGAAGGCCTATATAACACATGTGGACAACAGCAATATACATTGCTCTACTAATCTGTGGCCCAGTATAGAGAAAATGAGATAAGTAAAGATGTAAGAAAGAAAATAGAGTCAATATTTTTCAATTGTTGACAAATAGTTTGAAGATAAAAGTTATGGTTCTAAGAAGATTCTTAAGAAAGAAAAGATACACCACACTATGATATTCACTTTGGAATCAACCTTAAAAATAATGTCTGTATTGAAATACCCACTTTTTCTTGTCTAGCTCATGTAGTTTCACAAAGTCACCATTAGCTTGATAAAAGGTTTCTAACTGAAATATTAAATATCACATGATACTAATAGACGTATTATTATGGAACAGAAGCAAAGTAGCTTATCCTGTACTGGGTTTTCAACCATGAATCTTGCATTGGAAGAGGCTAAAAACACATTGGATGAGACATACAAACAATTTAATGAACACAAATGGTAAATGTGCCAAGTACATCTAAGGTTTGGACTAAATCACCCCCTTTCATAGGAAGTCCTAAAAAACAAATTCATTTAAAAGATAGTTAAGGAAAATATCTTTTACAGGGGCAGATAATGGTATTTTTGACCTAGAATTTTTTGTGTGCCCTTCTGGGGTTCAATCCTACTAAGAGTTTACTACAGCTAAGGTTTGTTTATGGAAAGAAAATAAAATATGCCTCTGCCTTACCGCCTCCACTTCAGCAGGATCGTACCAGACGTTGATGTAAGGGTGCTGTAAGGCGTCATCCACTGATATCCTCTTGGCTGGGTCAATCACTAGCATCTTTGACAACAAATCCCTGGCTTGGCTGGCTGAAACAATCAATGAGAAAAACAACCAGCAAGATTTTTATTTGTTGTATGGAGTGGAAACTAAAGCAAAAAAAATCAACAAATATCTTGTTTCTAAATGAATATCAAGTCCATTTCTGGATATTCTGGAAAAAGAAATTAATTTTGCATCTCTTTCTATAGGTCTCGAGGCCTAAGGCATCATCTAGGGCTCATTGAAGTTATAATATAAATACACAATTATTCATTTAACATTCAAATAACTTAAGCAACATTCACCAGAAAGTTAATATAAGCAAAATAATTTTCTTAGGTAATCTGGATGACCATAGGCTGAAGGGATAACAAGCATACAAATGCAAATCCATGATGTTTGATAGTGATGGCTCTTTGAAGATAAGCAATGTGTATTTTCATGTTCTCATTCATATTTTAGAATTATTAAAATTTGAACTGAATTCAAATTGATGAGAGATCATATAGACCCAATTTATTGTATGCATGAAAATAACCTGAAGAGTAGTAGTGATAGATATGATATCATTCAACTGGTGAATTGTCATTTTAACATTTTGTGATCATCAGGCACTTTAAATCAGTAGAATCATGATTTCATGAAATCAAGTAGTTAATGGCTGAAGTCCGTTCAATGCTACACATGACAGCAATGTAAAACTACATTATGTTTATGTTACTAAGATTAATTTTATGTATTAGTTATAAAGTTATTTAGTGATAATCAGTAAGCATATTTGTTTAAGAACACTAGTAAAGCCTCATTAATTTTTAATCTCTAAAAAATATATAAAATTTTACAAAAATTACTGTTTGAATGGAAATAAATATCTTAAACCGAAATTGTTATTCAATTGATAGAAAGGTTTAATAGTAAAAATATTCAGCTGGTTCCAAATATATAGTAAAACTTCAAATTAAAAGGAAAAGAGCCTCAATTGATTTAAGAATAAATCATAAAAATATGGATATATATCAATTTTTATTTCATCAATTTTTCAGAGAAAAGCAACTAGGTAAGTTGTGTAAAACTGAAAATAACATAATATGAAAATCAGAAAATACCAATTGTCCCAACAAGCTTGAGTCAACCACTGTATCTATGGGCATATTTTTTTGGTGCTATTTATTTTTTCAGTTATTTGTTGGTCAAATATTTTTCATATAATTTTAACAAAACTACAGTTAAAATGTAGCAAACCATTTTCACTTATTCTGTATTTTCTTGTGTCTTCACATTTCAATAAAGAAACCTTCTGATGTCTTGTTCTAACATGAAAAATCACTAGTTAACTAATCCTTTAGGATATTTTATGTCTATTAACCATTTTCCTGGTAAATTCAATCACAGAAAATCATTAGTATTATTTACAAATAGAAGTTTGAAGCTTATAAGAATAATAAAAATATAAAAAGACTTGTATGTTAATTCAAACTTTAATATTTCTCATTACTAGTTTGAAAGACTTCTTTGATTTATAAATGATTTTACATCTATTTTCCCTTTTATTGTCCTATCAAACCCACCATATTTCACTTTTTAGAGCAGGCGCTGTAATAGGGCCATGAACTATATTAATACCAAATCATCTTAGGAAGAAATAATAGTAAATATCTTATGTCTGAAACAAAATGAGGAAAATATTTCAATGCTTTATCTTTCATTTGCAAAAAAAAAATCTGTTATGCTCTTTTTAAAATATAATGAAATATATTGTTTCTTTTGGCTATTGTATGTTATGATTCTTAACAATGTGGTAATTTTACATTAAAATTAAATTAAATAATCATAACAATAATAAAATAGTTTATCCTTTACAAAGAATATAATTATAGAGGTTCCACTTAAAAAGAAAACTCAAGGGGCAGGGGTTGTGGCTCAGTGGCAGAGTGCTTGCCCCTCACATGTGAGGCACTGTGTTCAACCCTCAGACCATATAAAAATAAACAAACAAAATAAAGATATTGTGTTCATATATAAATTTAAAAAAAATTTAAAGTAAACTCAAGAACGTTGGAATTACATGACAGAGCATGATATACTTTAATAATTTTTCTATCAGTGCTGTCATTATCATTCAGTAGTTTAATAAGAGCTTTGCTGTCTTCACTTGTTATACTACAAGTGTCTTCATCAGAAGGGATGATTTTACCTAACATCTCAATTAGCATCCCGAAGGAATAAATGCTAAAATATCTCTTCTTAGAGTATTAGCTCTTTCCTAATGTGCATAAAGATAATGTTGATCTTAAAAATGATTGAGTTGGTAATAATTTAGTCCATACCATACCTAAAGTCCATAGGAAAGCTAAAGGAAGAAAGATCCACTGTGAAGCCTAAGTATCAAGAACAAAGGAACAATATGGAATATTTAAAATACACTAGGTAAAAATTTAGAAAATAGTAGCACTGCATTATAGTGTCTCCGTCTCATTTAAGTCTACCATAGATATTCAAATTTTGTTAGTTATGTCTATAGATCAGAATTCTCCACTGAACACTTAGGGTTATATTTCAAAGCGTACGTCTTAACTTTTTCTTTTTTGATCACATATAAGTATTTTTAAATATATTTTTTTATTATTTTTAACAGTATTTAGTATTTGTTATAAGCTCTGAAGGCACTGTATTAAGTGCAACATTAAGCAAATTAATCCTCCCAACAAATCCCTGCCTCCATGTGTACAAAGAGATAACTTGCCCAGAGTCACACAGATTTCAAGGCACAGTGGCAGAATTTGAACCTTGAGTGGGGTTGGGGCTATCAGATTTCCTTCAAAATGAGTTCTCAGGAGTGTCCTAAAGTTTAACAGAAAATAGGATATTATTTATCTTACAGTTAATACATTGCCAAATTTGTGCCTAGTTTCCAAACAAATCAAAGGTCTTTTTACCTCAATATTTGGGGGGGAAGATACTGAGATTTGTTACTCAAGTTATTAACTGCAGACATCATGGTAGAAAAGAATCACTTGTTAATAAGTGTTTATACTGAATAAAAATGAATAGGTGAAATTTCATTTACCACTGTCAACTGAAAAAGCACTATAAATAGAAATAAAATGCTAAAATACAAATAAAAGAAAGCCACAATACAAATAAAACAAACTCAAACATCTGATTTTATAACTCCAAGATTTTACAACTGAAAACAGGCACTGAAAATATTTTCAGACCAAATAGAAAGGATTGAAAGCATGATGGATGTATATTACATTGGTTTCTGAAACTTACTTCAAAAAACGATTTAAGTTTCTAAGTATACTCTATGAAATAGTTAACCTAAATCTTGTTAACACACTTTATTCTTACCCTTCCTTCTGAATATCTAATTATAAAGTCCTCAGCCACTCCCCTTGGTAAAAATGGTCTTTTTATTTTTTTTTTATTTTTTTTATTGTTGGTTGTTCAAAACATTACATAGTTCTTGATATATCATCTTTCACACTTTGCTTCAAGTGGGTTATGAACTCCCATTTTTAGCCCATATACAGATTGCAGAATCACATCAATTACACATCCATTGATTTACATATTGCCATACTAGTGACTGTCATGTTCTGCTACCTTTCCTATCCTCTACTATCCCCCCTCCCCTCCCCTCCCCACCCCTCTTCTCTCTCTACCCCCTCTACAGACCTTCATTTCTCCCCCTTGTATTATTTTTCCCTTTCCCCTCATTTCCTCTTGTATAACCCTGAGGGTCTCCTTCCATTTCCATGCAATTTCCCTTCTCTCTCCCTTTCCCTCCCACCTCTCATCTCTGTTTAATGTTAATCTTCTTCTCATGCTCTTTGTCCCTACTCTGTTCTTAGTTATTCTCCTTATATCAAATAAGACATTTGGCATTTGTTTTTTAGGGATTGGCTAGCTTCACTTAGCATAATCTGCTCTAGTGCCATCCATTTCCCTGCAAATTCTATGATTTTGTCATTTTTTAATGCAGAGTAATACTCCATTGTGTATAAATGCCACATTTTTTTAATCCATTCGTCTATTGAAGGGCATCTGGGTTGGTTCCACAGTCTTGCTATTGTGAATTGAGCTGCTATGAACATCGATGTAGCAGTGTCCCTGTAGCATGCTCTTTTTAGGTCTTTAGGGAATAGACCAAGAAGGGGAATAGCTGGGTCAAATGGTGGCTCCATTCCCAGCTTTCCAAGAAATCTCCATACTGCTTTCCAAATTGGCTGCACCAATTTGCAGTCCCACCAGCAATGTACAAGTGTACCCTTTTCCCCACATCCTCGCCAGCACTTGAAATGCATATCAAAACCACCCTAAGATACCATCTCACTCCAGTAAGATTGGCAGCCATTATGAAGTCAAACAACAAAAATGGTCTTTTTAAAAGTACCCTTTCCTTAACTTGAAGTAGTTGAAGTTAAAGATAGGTCTCTAAACCACAAGCTATTTAGCTTCTGTCCTGCACAGAGGTTCTCAAGTTGTCTCTGGAGGGCCTACCTTTAAGTTTATTGTGCTCAGAGTCCGCTGGGAAGAGGGAATCTGGAAAGAGCTTGGGGAAGGTGAGTCCTGCATACTTGGGCCGATTCTCCACATAGTTTCTTACTGTGGGTTGCAATTTCTTCATGAATTCCGGGCAAGGTGTTCCTAGTTGCTCAATTACCTTATTCCACTGGTCAATATCTGAGAATTTAATGGTTAAGGGAAAAAAAGAAGTGCAGACCACTAGCTCTTGCCTCTTGATCATCAAGAAGCTAACATTTCAGAATCCTGAAACATCATCAATAAAAACTGAAGTTTTAATAACCAACGTAAGACAAACACATAAACTTAGAATTGTCAAGCAATGAGTCCTTTCAGAATTTTGAATCTTCTTTTGGAACTTACACACTTTTGGAAGACAGTATTTTTTTTAAACAAAAATAGGATTATGAAATTGTCTTTGGTTTGCAAAGATAAAAAGTTATCCAAATAACACAAGAAGAATGAATCATATCAAGAAAGCATCTATATAGTCATGTGGTTTACAATTAAAAAGTATACTTCATAGTGATATTTTTAACCTGAATCTACCTCAATCATTTCTATTTTTAAAATAACAAGTACATTAATATTTTGAATAATATTTATTTACATTTTTCTTAAATTACCTTTAAGAATTTTCTTCTTTAAAAAATATGCATGTTAAATACTATGCTGTTATCAAATAAACCTATGTGAATAACAAAAATTCAACAAAATTAATGATTTCTACTTATACATATTACATATGGGATCAATGTAGTTTTGTCTGCTTTTAATTTTTTAATTAACACACAAAAATACACAAATTTATGGGGTACTAGGAGATGTTTTGATATACATATACATTATATGACGTTCAAATGACGGCAAGCATCTCTATCTTCTCATTTATTATTTATTTGTGGCAAAATCATTAAAAATCCTTTCTTCTAACTTTTCTGAAATATATAATATATTATCTTTATCTATAGTCACCCTGTACGTAATAGGGCACCTAAATTTATCTTTCTTATCTAACTATAATGTAGTATCTATTAAATCCAGCTCCCAGCTTCTCTTCTCTCCCCTCTCCAGCCTCCAGTCATTGAGAATCTCTTTTTCCTCTATCATTAGTATTTCATATATCAGAACTTTGAGAATAATAAACGCCACCCATGAAAACTGAAGAACCAGCTAGAAGGAGCTGATTCCATATTTTCTTGCCATATGACAATGAATGATAGAGGAATAGAAATATGTCTTAAATCCAACACCTCCTCTCCTCTCTCCTTTATTGTTTATTCTTCCACACCTCTTTCCTTTAGTTTTACTCATTTCTACCAAAGTAATATAAAACCATTCAGAGACCCTCACCATAAAAATTGAGGGGTGAGAAGCCTTTATTTATAGTTATTTGAAATGGTTGGACAAAAAAATTGGCAGTTCTGAAAAAAGATAAAACTAACTATCTTAATATGAAAAACTCTAAAATACAAACAGCAGATAGAAGGTTGAACAAAGATCATATTATTTTGCAAATTTTCTACCTCCCTTATAACCTGACTAAAAACACCTAAATTGCTGTATATACTCTCAGTTTCTATAATGGAGTGTGTATATAACTATGGACTATCAACAATGAAATACAGGTAGGAAAAACTGAAGACTATATCCTCACAAGATCTCAGCAATAATTTAAAAAGAACATGGTTCAGTGAAAGTTCATTAAAGTTCTTATGTGCATGAGACTATAGTAGTAAGTAAGAATCATCAGAAATAAAGAAATTAAAACATTATGTAAGGTTAGAGTTACAAGTTACTTTTAGACAAAAACTAATTTTACATCTATGGCTACAGGTAAGCTACAACTACTTAGATACATGTAAACAGAAAAACATTCATGATGTTAAGATTCAGTGCTTGTCATTGTAAATTCTGAAAGAGGGCTTTCAAAGACAATTAGGCTACCATGCCCTACCAACGCATCCTTTAGTCATTGGTCAAACTTGCTTAGAACTCTAAAGACCTGATGTCAAACTTACAATAGAGCAAAAAAAAAATCACTGGATTTTCAATAAAGAAGTCATAAAGAAGTGGCAAAATGCTATGCTACTTTCACATAATTATATTCTAACTCCATTAAGCTAGAATCATAAAGTTATTCACTAAAATGCTTTTAAAGTAAGATTTCCCAAACAATTCTATGGTATTTTAGAGTAAAACTTGAGAATCAGATATTCTAGAATTTGTTAAACAATAAGTTTTATAAGTCATAATTAAGAGTAAATTAATAATTAAGAGTATGGACAAAATTATCCTTAATTAATATAAATTCTTTTAAATGAAACACTATTGTGCACCTTGATGTAATGATCCACAAAAAAGAAGGGGGCAAAAGTCTTTATTATTTCCAATGAAATAGTTAAATGTTAGGGATCGCCATTTTTGAAATTCTGTGCCTTTATTTTAATCCATCCATTTCAAGGTCCTTCGTCCCTTAAACACGTGTATGTTCCAGTGCATGTTCTTGTTTCCAGATTCTTATAGGACAATTACATGTACAACTATGTCCAACTTAGTTGAGCACATTAATGATTTTTTTAATATGAATTTTTATAATCAAATGTAAGCCAAGACTTGAAGTCATGTCTCCTAGTTCCAAGTCTAGTTCTTATTTCAAGTATTCTAGTAAAGAAAAGAGCAAATTTGGAATTGGTGTGGTTAAAATAATTGCTTTGTTTGGTCATAAACTGATTGTATAATTTGTCACAGGCAATCCTTGTAAAGAATGTCTCTGAAGCTACTTTCTTGTCTTTCAGGACAACATATTTATATAAACTATCAATTTTGTTAATATTTTAAGTAGAAAATAAGGTGATTTTTAAAGAAAAATTATTGATGATAAGAATACATAAAATATTAACTAGATTTTATGAGTATGTATAAATGTTAACATTATGTATATTTTAAAATATAATGGCTAAAATTATTTTTGTAAAAAGATTTATTAGTTTTAGAACATCCATAAGTCTTTGTTTTCATGCTAAATAGGTTGTGGGTGTGAATATTTAGAGACTAGTACTATCCAGTTATCAAAATATCAGTAAAAATATGTGTTTTTATATTTTTGATATACTGTTTCAGAAAGTATTACCCTAACATAAATTACCAAAGCATTGAATAAAAACGGAAAAATGGCATTTAATAAGGACTATTTGACAGTAAATTTCCTCATCTAATTCTAAATTCACTACCCAAAAGTAAAGTTACATTGCAAAAAAGTTTGATTTGATAAGTAGAATATGATGACAGGACAATTTGCACATGTGGTTGAATATTATCAAGGTTTCCAATAAATAGTATTTTAATAGGAGAATAAAACAAAGTACATATGGATAGTGAAGATGAGTATCTAAAATCCTCAGACTGAAAATTATTCCAGTTAATATCAGTTAGCTAATAGTTAAAGTTTAAACACTTCTCTTGCTTTAGCTTCCCTGGTTGGACACTTTCTAAAACATATCAGATGATGCCTTGAACATAATATATGAAAAATACCTCGTAATTTGCTGGGTATTTTGGTCATAATTATGAACATAATTTATGCTATGAACATTGAAGCCTGCAGAAGCTTCTGAGTGGAATCAAACAGAACTGTTTAATGACTTCCTCCTTCTGTACATTTCCAAGTTCTATTTTTTAAGGTTTTCTTCCATTTTTAAAAATTACTTTTTGTTATTAGTAGTAACATTTCCAGAGTTAACATCATCATGATTTCTGACTTGCTTTCTATTCTATTTTAGGTACAATGGTTTGTGAAAAAAAAAATGTGACCTCTATTTACTATTTAGAGAATATCAACATGTGTCTTCAAATTCTTAGCTGTCCCTAAAGATAATATTGCCTAGTAGAAATTTATGTATAGAATAGTACCAGAGGCTATTTTATCTTGCAAGCTAATTAAGTAAGATGTTGAGAATGTTTTTATCTTTATAATAGCTCTGTAGAAAAGAATGCTATGATGAATTAGTAATGTCTGCAATGAAAGTACAATAAGGAAATAGAGGCAGTTTTCTTTGTTGTTATGGTTTATATATGAGGTGTATGCCCAAAAGCTCACATGAGAGACAACACAAGAAAGTTTAAAGGTAAAATGATTGGGTTATGAGAGCCTTAACCTAATCAGTGCATTAGTCCACTTGAATGAATTAACTGGGTGGTTACTGTAGACATGTTGGGTGTAGCTAGATGTGAAAGATTGCTAGGGGCATATTTTGGGGGTCTATATTTTGTCCCTATTGAGAGAAGCTTAACTTTTCTCTTTGCTTCCTGATTGTCCTGTTCTGAGTTGCTTTCTCCCATCACACCCTTCCTCCATGATATTTTGCCTCAAGTTGGGCCCAGAGCAAAGCAGCTGGCCATCTGAGACTGAGACCTTTGAAACTAAATAATTTTTTTCTACCTAAAATTGTTCTTGTCATGTCTCTTGGTCACAGTGGTGAAAAAGCTAACTAAAACACAATTTGGTACCAAGAAGTGGGGTCATTACTATGACTAACCTGGCCATGTGTTTCAGAATATTTTGGAGCTTTTTGGAATTTGTGGGGGAAATTTTGAAATTTAACAAAAAAAGCTGGAAAAGTTTTAGATTGTCATAAGCAGAGCCTAATGGAAAATTCTGGAGGAAGTTCAAAAACTTGAAGGACAACAGAACTGAGGACAATAAAGAATGTGCTCATGAGATCTCAGAGATGAAGGAAGACTCTACTGGAAATTGAATAAGAGACCATTCATGTTATGTTGTGGAAAAGAAGTTGTTTACACTTTGTTCATGTCCTGAAGCTTTCTGTAAAGATTAATTTAAAGGTGATCAACTTCATAATCTGATGGAAGAAATTTCTAGGCAACATAACATTCAGGCAGTGGTATGGATAATGTTGGTAGCTTTTAACCAAGTTTATCATAATTATCAGAAGCAGAAAGCACAGCAGAAAGATTTTAAAAACTTGTACTTTGGCCAAAAAAGTGAGTAAAATTGGGACAAAGGAAGTTGTGATTATTAAATACTTTAAAGTCACTAAAGACATGTTAAATAATTTACCCAAAGCAAGATGACTTGAGGGTATCTCAGGAACTGGCAATACCACACTTATCTCAGGCTCAAAGGTGTAAAAGTAAAA